GCGTGAGTGAGTGAGTGAGTGGGTGGGTGGGTGGGTGAGTGAGTGAGTGAGTGAGTGAGTGAGAGATGCAGAACGTAGACGTTATCCACTTCTACAAAACACAAGCGGCAAAACCATTTCAATAATGAGAAGTATCTGCATAAAGCAGAGTCCATTTACGATTCCGACTATATCATAAGCATGTGTTTATGAATCACTATCAACTAGTGTTGTAATGTGGTGTATCACGGGATCTTGTCTTGTCTACTGTAAGAGAATTACAGAACCACCAACATAATCAACACTGACATTGAGATTATGGCCCACATCCTTGGCTCGTTTTAGAAAACTGTGGATTGCCTTGTTTTCATCATGAGTCTTTACATGCTTCACGAGATGATCATCAGACAACTAAATGTGTGCAAATGTCCACAAATCAATTCTGTCATGAAGAGTTCCAACGTTAATCAAACCACGCCCTCCCATTATGATTGGGTCAATATAAAGTAGTAGTAGTAGTAGTAGTAGTAGTAGTAGTAGTAGTAGTAGTAGTAGTAGTTACAGATGACAGATATTGAGCTACATTTTCACACCACACAAATCATGCGCAAACACAAAAGCGCACATAACTTGCAGGACTGGCGATAGCAGTTTGCTCTAATAAGACTTATCAACCAGAGCAGTCAATAGGTATAGCGCTGGAAGAGATGTGTTTTAAGCCCAGACTCGATAACTGAAGTGTTGGAGCTGATTTCAGTGTGAGAGGCAGTGAGTTTCACAGCATCTGAAGATAAAAAATCTTTAACTTTGATTTGGAACATGCAGCATGAATTGTTGATTGACCGTTACGCTCTTTGATTTGACTCGTTACGACGTCTTGAGATATGAAGGAGCAGTCCCATGCATTGCTTGGTACGCCAATGAAGCTTGAAATCAAATCTCTCACGCACTTATAACCATTGCTGGGACATCAAAACTGGTTTAACATGTGATACTAATTTCGCCCGACAGATAATTCGCGTTTTGGATCTTTTGCAGCCTTTGCTGTTGTTGACTAGTAGAGATACCGGATACGTTTTTTGTACATACGTATAAACGTATTATGTGAATCACGCACATTCCCATTCATTATTTTTTGGTTCCCGATTTCACTCCGAGAAACCCTTTTCTAGTTTTCAAATGTACATTTTCATTTTCTGTTTTTACATGAACACCCGGTATTTCACAACCATACAAAAAGACTGGGGCAAATTTTGTGTAAATAAAGCGACAAAACCCTTTCCATATCCAATAGAAATCTCTGCATAAAGCAGAGTCGATTGTACGCATCCGACTATATCACGAGCATGTGTTTATAAATCACTATCAAATGGTAATGATACCAGGTGTTCGCTAAAAGGGGAGCGTATCCTGACCCACCGGTTGTACCCGTCACAAACCCAATTGTCCCTCTGAAAAAAACACGGGAACATATAGTAAAAGTCAAAATAGGGAATTGCATCGGACATCATTTTTGTCACTGATGCGTCAAATTTGGAAATGTCGTCCACATGTCTACCATGAAACGTTTTGAAAGCATTTCTGAAGCCTTGAAGAATACATTCTATGGAATTGGCAAATTTGAAGATTTTGAAATATCAAATAATTGACTTTACTCCCCCTCAGACATGCATTCAGTACAATGTGTAAAAAAAAGAAGCAAATGACACTGAAGTTGATGTGACATATGTGAAATGCTGGACTTCCTCGTAAATGATTTAGGGGCGGTCGGGTAGCTTAGTGGCTAAAGTGTTCGCTTGTCACACCGAAGACCCGGGTTCGATTCCCGACATGGACATCAATAAATGTGCTCCCCTTCTGGCTGATTTGTTTCTTAGCGGATATAAATCGGGATATCTGGTCGGATTGTCCAAATGAAAACAAGACATTTGGCCAAGTTTCACTGAATATATCGATCATTTGATATTGTCGTTCAATAATGGTCAAATAGACAATTCCCTTCCACTGGTTTACGACAACTGTTAACAGAAGTGACCAGTAAATCATTTTTGGATATATGCATTTGGATTTAGAGTGACAACAAACTATTCACATGAATGTGTGACAAGAGGGATTTAACTTTGTGTTGAGCAGCATTCCAGAAGATCCAGCATTAGGTGTCTACATTTCACAAATTTTGAGGTACAATCAAGCATGATCTTACCACGAAGATTTCAAAGAGCCCAGGGCTACAGCATTCAAGTTCTTAGTAAGCTTTCAAAACGATTAATGCTAAACACCTGGAGGACATTTCCAAATGTGAGGCATCAGTGATACAATGACGTCCAATGCAATTCCTTCTGGACTTGTAGCATATGTTCCAATGTTTGTTCAGGTTAACATTTGACTTGCCTATCCATGTGTTTATGACGGATGACACAGATTGGACACCTGTATCATCGCTATTTGATAGTAATTAATAAACAGATGAACATGATATAGTCGGAGTCGTACAATGGACTTGTATTTCTTATGATTATGGAAATACTTTCGGCTGATATGTATGCCAGGCAGAGCTGTAAGGCTGATAGGTATGCCAGGCAGAGCTGTAAGGCTATAGGTATGCCAGGCAGAGCTGTAAGGCTATAGGTATGCCAGGCAGAACTGTAAGGCTATAGGTATGCCAGGCAGAGCTGTAATGCTATAGGTATGCCAGGCAGAGCTGTAAGGAAGATAGGTATGCCAGGCAGAACTGTAAGGCTATAGGTATGCCAGGCAGAGCTGTAAGGCTATAGGTATGCCAGGCAGAACTGTAAGGCTATAGGTATGCCAGGCAGAACTGTAAGGCTATAGGTATGTCAGGCAGAGCTGTAAGGAAGATATGTATGCCAGGCAGAGCTGTAAGGCTATAGGTATGTCAGGCAGAGCTGTAAGGTTTATAGGTATGCCAGTCAAAGCTGTAAGGCTTGTAGGTATGCCAGGCAGAACTGTAAGGAAGATAGGTATGCCAGGCAGAGCTGTAAGGTTTATAAGTATGCCAGGCAGAGCCGTAAGGCTATAGGTATGTCAGGCAAAGCTGTAAGGAAGATAGGTATGCCAGGTAGAGCTGTAAGGAAGATAGGTATGCCAGGCAGAGCCATAAGGCTATAGGTATGCCAGGCAGAGCTGTAAGGTTTATAGGTATGCAAGTCAGAGCTGTAAGGAAGATAGGTATGTCAGGCAGAGCTGTAAGGCTATAGGTATGTCAGGCAGAGCTGTAAGGCTATAGGTATGCCAGGCAGAGCTGTAAGGCTATGGGTACGCTAGGCAGAACTGTAAGGCTATTGGGCGATCGGATAGCCTAGTGGTTAAAGCGTTCGCTCGTCACGCCGAAGACCCGGGTTCGATTGCCGACATGGGTACAATGTGTGAAGCCCATTCCTGGTGTGTGATATTGCTGCAATATTGCTAAAAGCGGCGTAAAACCACACTCACTCACTCACTGTAAGGCTATAGGTATGCCAGGCAGAGCTGTAAGGCTGATATGTATGCAAGGCAGAACTGTAAGGCTGATATGTTTGCCAGGCAGAACTGTAAGGCTATAGGTATGCCAGGCAGAACTGTAAGGCTGATATGTTTGCCAGGCAGAACTGTAAGGCTGACAAGGTATGCCAGTCAGAGCTGTAAGGCTATAGGTATGCCAGTCAGAGCTGTAAGGCTATAGGTATGCCAGGCAGAGCTGTAAGGCTATAGGTATGCCAGGCGACCAGTGGAGATACGGGTTAGAACAGGCTATCAGCGATCTATGCTTGACGTAAGAGGCGACTATACTTGTCCTAAGTGGCGACTTACGGGATCCGGTGGTCTTGCCGACACTGACTTGGATGATGGATGCCACCGTATCCCAATTGCGTGGATCGATGCTCATGATTTTAATCACTGGATTGTCTGGTCCATACTCGATTATTTACAGACCACCGTCATGTAGCTGTAATGCAATCAATCAAACAAACAAATAAAAGGTATGCCAGGTAGAGCTGTAAGAATTATAGGTGTGGCAGTTAGAGATGTAGGTAAGACCGCATGTCTGCCAGTCAGAGCTGTAAGACCGCATGTCCACCAGTCAGAGCTGTAAGGTCGCATGTCTACCGGTCAGAGCTGTAAGGTCGCATGTCTACCAGTCAGAGCTGTAAGTCCACATGTCTACCAGTCAGAGCTGTAAGGCCGCATGTCCACCAGCCAGAGCTGTAAGGTCGCATGTATACCAATCAGAGCTGAAAGGCCGCATGTCTACCAATCAGAGCTGTAAAGTCGCATGTCTACCAGTCAGAGCTGCAAGGTCGCATGTCTACCAGTCAGAGCTGCAAGGTCGTATGTCTACCAGTCAGAGCTGAAAGGCCGCATGTCCACCAGTCAGAGCTGAAAGGCCGCATGTCCACCAGTCAGAGGTGTAAGGTCGCGTGTCTGCCAGTCAGAGGTGTAAGGTCGCATGTCTACCAGTCAGAGCTGCAAGGTCGTATGTCTACCAGTCAGAGCTGAAAGGCCGCATGTCCACCAGTCAGAGCTGAAAGGCCGCATGTCCACCAGTCAGAGGTGTAAGGTCGCGTGTCTGCCAGTCAGAGGTGTAAGGTCGCATGTCTACCAGTCAGAGGTGTAAGGTCGCGTGTCTACCAGTTAGAGCAGTAAGGTCGCGTGTCTACCAGTCAGAGGTGTAAGGTCGCATGTCTACCAGTCAGAGGTGTAAGGTCGCGTGTCTACCAGTCAGAGGTGTAAGGTCGCATGTCTACCAGTCAGAGTTGTAAAGTCGCATGTCTACCAGTCAGAGCTGAAAGGCCGCATGTCCACCAGTCAAAGCTGAAAGGCCGCATGTCCACCAGTCAGAGCTGAAAGGCCGCATGTCTGTCAGTCAGAGCTGAAAGACCGCATGTCCACAAGTCAACACAAAAAGACCTCATGTCTGCCTGTCGGAGCTGAAAAATGATCTAACGTGTGGATCTTTTAGAATCTATTTCTAATTTTAATCAAATATGAGGAATTTATGAATTATTGAACATACTGGGAAGACTATGATAGCACCGTTTCATGTTCTTCATTCATAACACCCACTCACGAACGTTTCTTTACATAGCTTCATATCGCATCACTCGCTTCCTTCCAGCGTTTCAGTCTCGAGACAGATGACATTGGATAGATTCTGGTGAACAAACAGAAAACACGAACAAAGAACCTTTCATAATAACTCATTTAAAAAAGATTGCCAAATTATGAAACATTCATCACGTCTGTTATGATGTTATCCCTAAACGCAATCCGAGACATGGCGACCAATGTTTCCAGTATGATATACATATGCACATATAAGTTGATACATGTATCCGGTTAAGCTAATATTAAAGAAAGGGTTAGACAATCATCTATTATTTCAATCTACGGCGTAGGTTACAGATGACGCATATGAATCAGAATATGAAAGACTTCAACTCGCTTGTATATTATATTGGCTAGGCATTGGTTTGCAAGTATTATTTCATTGTATTTTATTTGTATGTTTATATATCAAACTGGTAACATTACATCATTTGATGTGTTTGTGACGAGAATATATTTTCAACAATCCTAATATCGAAACTGCCAGATCCGGACCCCCCACCCCCCTTTTTTTGAAATCCAATTGAAGTTCGTTGTAGAGAATAAAAATGCTGGATCCGCCCTTGTATACATGTGTCGTTCCTATGAACGAGGGCTGACTTTAACATTAGGACACCCTGTAACACTGCCGAGGAATTTTACGTAAATACATTACAATCTTGTCACACTTGTGATAAGAAAAATGTTTTACCGTTTTTGGTGACAACGGTTACGCTTTAATTGTTCCCGTTTGTTTACTTACAGACGTGATATTGTTATTGTGCAGACCTCGAGCACGCCGTAAACCTGTCAATATGTCACACACGTATCATTCTTGGAGAAAAGCATGTCAGGGGCATCGAGTCCGTGGCGTCAGTTTCTGCAATTACTACATGTTCTTGGCAGCTGACGAAGCTCAATCATCACCAGACACGGTGGCAATATTATCAAAAGCTTGGTTCTCAAAGATTTTCCATATGGGATTAACGTGAAAGTATGCGAGAAAATTCACGCAGTGGACAATACATAAGTATATAATACATACATGTACATGATGTAGTCATAACATGAAGCCCCCATGGAGATTCCTTGCTAGAATAGGTCCCCGGCAACCTAGGCTGGGCCTAAGAGGCGACAAAAGCGATCGAATGGTTAGGCGCAGTGAGTTGATTGATTGCGTCCTACCTAGACGGTGTGGGACGGTGCTCAAAGTATAGGTCACTCGGTTGTATGATCTCGGTCGCAGTAGACGTGAAACACAGCGCGCTTAAACAACAAATATATGTTTATATATAAATAATGAACGAGGACGATAATTACCATCAGCTACGTTGCGCGAAAAGTCGTATGCATATATGAAGGCAGGGTAAATACCACAGCAGAATATACTCACAAAGTTGACACACAGACACACTCCCCTCTATTGCACACGCCAATTTGGTGGCCATTTCCAGACCAGTTCTTGACATGGTAATTAGTGTACCGTGTGACTTTGACGCGGGGTCAGGGTCGTAATGGCACATTGAACCAATTTCAGTGAGCAGAGTTTTGAGAATGCTCCCTCTACGTGCGAGCTGTTCCGATCATGTCAGGATAAGTGTAAGCAGCTTTCCTCACACACTACCGATATTCTTATAGTATTACTTAGAAGAGAGAAAATAAATTCCTCTTCAATACTCATCTCTATGGAGATTAACACCGTTTTGAGCCGTATTTCAGCTCCATCACGGCATGACCGCTTGATGTAGGACAAAAGACGAAACTTTAGACGTTTTTACTGCTTTAGAGAAACTCACGAAGACAAAATAGTTCTATATAGGTCTATGGGACGCAATTCTACATTGTGCATTGCGGCGTCATAGACGACTAGGCCACCCCTGCTTCAGTGTAAATATCTTAATAGGTGCCTAAGCTGCAGGCACTTTTCAAGTGGTTCGCCGGGTTGGCGAAGTTCACCAACTTGTTTTGTGCTCAAACTTGTACTGCCCGTTGGTTCTTTGCTTATCAGAGTGGTAAGTTGGAGGGTGCTATGTTTGTTCTTATATAAGTACCAATGTACAATCTAATGAAGATCCAGGTTAAAACTGGTCTTCGGAAACCAATGCTTGTCCCCCAAGAATATTGGGTTAGAATTGGTCTTCAGAAACCCATGCGTGTGGTAAGCGGTGACTAACGGGACCAGGTGGCCGGGCTTGCTGACTTGGTCTTCGTATACCAATTGCGTAAATCGATGCTCATGGTGTCAAATACTGGATTCTCTGGTCTAGATTCGATTATTTACAGACCCCCCTGGGATATTGCTGAGTGCGGCGTTAAACAACAAACAAGAAACAAAAACAGTTGCCAAAATGCTGACGTTGTCAATATACAAATGACATGTATTACTTTGAGTGATTCATTTCAGTGAATGTCAATGTGACCCTTGGCAGTTTGTACCAGTTTTTGTTTCGTCCACATGATATCCATCCAACGTCATTCTAGCGCCGGCAATACTGAAATACAGTGCCAAGCACGAGATCTATTTATAATTATTTGTCACATGACATGTGCAATACAGTTGGACAGTTACCTCTGAAACATTACTGTTGAACAGTGTACATATTGAATATGGGTATGACAAGAATCCACTTATTGGTTATCTACTACATTCCAAGGTAAACATTGCATGTACAAACTTTAATAACCACGCCACTTTTAACTGTTTAATTGTTATTCCAGAAGTTGGTGAGTAAATAAGAAAGCATTCAACGTTGATAACATGGAGAACCTTTTATCCCTTTTTACATCAATCTTTTCATTCATCTGTACAAAACTCATTATAACATAAGAATATGTGATTTACACATTCATGTGACAAACATCCTTTAAAAGCAGAAAGCTTTCATGTTAGATACTTGTTTAAAAACAAGACATACATTTTTTCTTATTCATTGCGGTTTTGATACATTTCCGCACTTATGAATGGAGGTTTATTGATTATATTCCTTTCAATTTGCCTGTGGTAAGTCAAGGTATATCTGAAGGGCACTCCAGTGACTCTTGTCATGACACATTCCCAAGGCCAATATTCCAACACCCTAGACATCCTACAGCCTAATTCACTACGGCCGGTATGTTATACCAAATGAATACAAACACGTGGGTGTTGCGCCTTTTGAGGAACACCTGTGTGTTTGTAGATAGTTTAATTGACTATTTCGTGTTGTGCTTGCAGTTCAGACGGAAGCGAGGCACACTGAAGTAGCTGTGTCTTAAAGATCGATAACCCATGCTACTTATGTTAGATCATACAAGAGCTTATGGAACACTTGGTGTCTAATTGGTGTATGCACATATGTACGTTATGGGGAGAAGATTCAGATTTAAGTATTTATCACTATGATGTTTTGCTTTAGAAGAAGGAATTAACTATATGTTCTCTCTTATGTTTCATGGAAACAATATGGCGTGTGCTGTCCTTTCTCTAATTGTTCGAATACATATGAGATATAAAATAGCCTTCAATAGTACACAAGTATACTATTACAATAGCGGATGTGTATGCAATGACAGGCTTCGGTGGAGCGTACACGCATCAATACATATAGCACTGGAACCGTGGTTCAACTAAAGCTGTTGCAATGTACTCTGTGGCTACGCCTGGTCATAACAAACAGCACCGATGGCTAGGGTTTTTTGTTGATGCACGGGAATAATGCATCGGCGAAAATGGAATCTAGATATTGATAAAGGCGTTTATTATGTATTTCGTGATGAAATACTGTATTTACCTGCAAACATATAAAGTCGATATGTCACCACTTGCAGTGGGCACACTGTTTCTCATGCTTAGATCACGTACATAATAAAATATATATTGAAAATGCAAGGGAATAACAAGTATAGATTACCTACCGAAACAGATGCGTAATAGCAATAAAACTTATATGAACGGACCTCTGAAAGCCGGGAATGACACCAGGTGCTCGTCTTTTCGTCTGAAATTACAAGTTTATCTCACCTCACCTGAAAAAGTTACATTATCACTCGCTGTGCCATAACAGATCACTCGATGAGCAAAACACATTGTTTGAATGTGAGCAGAAACGTCAAATGTATTCTATATTTTCCGACCTTTATAGGCAATGCTATGCATAAGTTAATTTTAAAAAGCTTTGACAACTACTCCAGAATGAGCTGTATAACCTTTCTTCCGGGTTAATGTACCTTATGTCTGTGATGCTAATAATTTCCATGCAATTACCCTCTGTTGACATTTTGATGCCTGTGATATTAAAATAATATGTTGTAATGTAGGGGAGGTCAGACTATGTCCTGTTGCCATCGTTAAAGAATTACATCCTTGTCAGAATGACTTCTCTTTATGGCGTCATGTGGGTGAAGAGAAATGTAGTAGGTGCACACGGGTCAACAGTTATTCATTTTATCACGTGTTTGAGAGCCAACGTGACCTTATCGGATGTATTTAATTACTACCAGTCACATGATGATAATGGTGACAGAAAGTGTCTTCACTAGGCCCATACCATGACATACAAGCTCATTATGACAATGGTGACAGAAAGGGTCTTCACTGGGCCCGTACCATAACGTACAAGCTCATTATGGCAATGGTGACAGAAAGGGTCTTCACTGGGCCCGTACCAAAACGTACAAGCTCATTATGAAAATGGTGACAGAACTCGTCTACACTGGACCCATACCATAACATACAAGCTCATTGTGACAATGGTGACAGAAGGCGTCTACACTGGACACTTACCATAAAATACAAGCTCATTATGACAATGGTGACAGAAAGGGTCTTCACTGGGCCCATACCATAATGTACAAGCTCATTATGAAAATGGTGACAGAAGTCGTCTACACTGGACCCATACCATAACGTACAAGCTCATTATGACAATGGTGACAGAAGGCGTCTACACTGGACACTTACCATTACATACAAGCTCATTATGACAATGGTGACAGAAGGCGTCTACACTGGACCCATACCATAACATACAAGCTCATTATGACAATGGTGACAGAAGGCGTCTACACTGGACCCATACCAAAACATACAAGCTCATTATGACAATGGTGACAGGAGGCGTCTACACTGGACACTTACCATTACATACAAGCTCATTATGGCAATGGGGACAAAAGTCGACTACACTGGACACTTACCATTACATACAAGCTCATTATGGCAATGGTGACAGAAGGCGTCTACACTGGACACTTACCATTACATACAAGCTCATTATGACAATGGTGACAGAAGGCGTCCACACTGGACACTTACCATAACATAAAAGCTCATTATGACAATGGTGACAGAAGGCGTCTACACTGGACACTTACCATTACATACAAGCTCATTATGGCAATGGTGACAGAAGGGGTCTTCACTGGACCCATACTTATAACATACAAGCTCATTATGACATTAGTGACAAAAGGGGTTTATTCTGGTATTTATGTCACAACATACAACCAATATAATGACAATGGTGACAGAAGGCGTCTGTATTGGCATCCACGTCACACATACAACCCACATAATGACAATAGAGATAGAAGGCGTCTATATTGGCATCCAATCACACATACAATCACATCATGACAATGGTAACAGAAGGCGTCTTTATTGGCATCAACGTCACATAACAACCAACATAATGACAATGGTGACAGAAGGCGTTTATATTGGCATCCAGTCACACATACAACCAACATAATGACAATGGTGACAGAAGGCGTCTATATTGGCATCCAGTCACACATACAACGACATCATGACAATGGAGACAGAGGGCATCTATATTGGCATCCACGTCACACATACAACCACATCATGACAATGGAGACAGAAGGCGTCTATATTGGCATCCACGTCACATAACAACCAACACAATGACAATGGTGACAGAAGTCGTCTATATTGGCATCCAGTCACACATACAACGACATCATGACAATGGAGACAGAGGGCGTCTATATTGGCATCCACGTCACATAACAACCAACATAATGACAATGGCGAACGAAGGCGTTTATATTGGCATCCACGTCACATAACAACCAACATAATGACAATGGCGAACGAAGGCGTTTATATTGGCATCCAGTCACACATACAACCGCATCCTGACAATGTTGACAATCAAACAATTTCATGACGACAATGTCGACAGAAGGCGTCTATAGACTCCTCCAATTCACACCATACAATCTTATAATGACAATGATGACAGATGACAGTCTATATTGGTATCCACGTCACACAAACAACAACAAAATGACAATGGTGTCTTTACTGGCATCCATGTCACATCATACAATCTGATTATGTTGTAGCTGTAGCCACTCGTTGTAGTCGTTGACGCTCATTATAAATGTGTCAGATATGTCACAGGAAATAGTTACCGGCGAGATTTTATCTATGAAACAATACCAGTGGACGTTTTAATGCGGATATATTAATAAAACTGTCAAAGTGTTTGCGTCATCTCATCTTCATCGATACTGATTGGCTGACGTAGACCAGGAACTATATTCTGATGGAGGCTCCCGTGACCTCGTGTCAGTGCACATTCTTGCGCTAGTTGTCTAAAAATAGTATCAGCCACTCCCATGTACCCGTCTGCCATGACAACAAAAGGGCCATGTTATGAACAAACAATAACATATTTAATTGGTCAATGATTTTTTAAATAATGATGAGACCCGTGAGGATCAAGGGTAGAATAGGTCTTCAGCAACCCATGCTTGCTGTAAAAGGCGACTATGCTTGTCGTAAGAGGCGACTAACGGGATCGGGTGGTCAGGCTCGCTGACTTGTTTGATGCATGTCATCGTATCGAAATTGCGTGGATAGATACTCATGATATCAATCACTGGATTGTCTGGTTTGGACTCGATTATTTACAGACCGCGGTCATAGAGCTGGAATATTGCTGAGTGTGGCGTTAAACAACAAACAAACAAATAATAATGATGACGGTGGTGACAGCAGGGGTCTATACTCACGTCCAAGTTGTCTCATTCTTTCTCATAATTGTCAAAATGTCGCTCCGGCACAGTCTAGTTCAGATATAAACTGAAGTGTGGCTGACAGAAAATACCTTTACCAACAGTCAACTTTGACACCAAACTATGTTTCATAAGCTAAATCTATGTCTAATTGTGTTTGTAAGTACAAATAAACAGACTCTGGTCGCTCATATCAAACCATACAATCTTAGCGCCAAGTCCCTCTGCCATTGTTTCAATGTTACCTCTATGTGTCAGATCCAAACATTGAACTCACACCGGTACAAATGCCGGTCTAATTTACAGAGTATTTGTTGATGTGAATGAACGCAAGGCTTTGTGTGCTACCCATGTAACGCAGTCTATTTGTCTATCGTAGATCAAGGACACTCGTAGACTTGCACAAGTCTCTAAGGCAATAACTATTAGTTTAAATAATCATTTCTAGATTATGTAAATAACGAGAACAAGTAGTCCCTACAAGAGACTGGAGTACTGTCCACATATCTAGACTTGCCTAGGAGGATAACATTACTACATATCCATGGACTTTTCTTTCAGTACAGACTTGGAGAAAGGCTAGGACACTCGATGTAGCCTTATTGTTGTTGACTCTCGGTGCAGCCGCAGAAGATCATTTTACCAGCGGATCCGAAGGCGCTTTTTGAAGCTGACTTTCGTTGTAACCATAAACGCTCCATTTAGACGTTGACGCTCGTTGTAGCTGTGGATGTTCGATGTGTGGTAGCCATGGGCGCTCGTTGCAGCCATAGATGATCGTTGTAGTCGTTGACGCTCGTTGTAGTCGTTGACGCTCGTCGTAATTGTTGTTCGTTGTAGTCGTTGCCCCTCGTTGTGGCCATAGATAATCGTTATAGTCATTGACGCTCTTTGTAACTTTGAACGCTCGTTGTAGCCGTTAACGCTCGCTCGTTGTAGCCTAGTATGCCGGTTGTAGCAGAGAATGCTGGTTGGAGATGTGTATGAAACAATACTAGTGAAGGTCTTAAAGCATAATATATTAATTAGGGTTCAATAATTTGCAGCGTTGTTAGTTTTCGTTTGACGTCAGCGTAGTGATGATTTTTTTTAAGACGTATCCCCCCGATCCCTCAAAAGAGGTTTTCTCTGTATAAATACGGTTACAACATGGTGAGATCAACAACTGAAACACATCATATTGCACACTATCCCACTTTGTATGGATTAGTTGTTTGCTTAACAAGTTCAGACCGGTGCGGCAAATCATTTATATGCCGCCTTGCAGTTTCAGGTTTGCTGTGTATCCAAACTGCCCTGCATTTACAGCGTATGTGTTGCTCCGTGTCATGCATGGAGTTGAGTTCACAAAGAGAGTAATACATTGGAGAGCATATGATATCAACTGTGGGAGTGAGTTTTACTCGTATTAATCCGACAAGCATGAATTACTGGTGGATTTCTCTGCACATGACAATAATCTGTGGGCGCTCAAACGAAAGTGGTAGGTGAGGTGAAATGTTCTTTAACGTCGCGTTGAAGACTATTGCACGTGTATGTGTGTGTGTGTGTGTGTGTGTGTGTGTGTGTGTGTGTGTGTGTGTGTGTGTGTGTGTGTGTGTGTGTGTGTGTGTGTGTGTGTGTGTGTGTGTCTGCTAGTCCACTGAGATACCATGCCCCAGTAAATACCCACCTCAGAAACAGCATACGGACTCCGAGACGACCAGTCCTTGTTTTAGCCACGTAATGTCGAGCGCTAGGCGGGGAAACAACCATTATAGTACCATTATAACGTCTTTTGGTACGACACGGCCGCGATTCTCTCCATGGGCACAATGTGGGAATCACTACATCTACAAAGGTCTAATATCGAATCGTAATATTTGAAGAGCCTCTCAAAATAGTTGTCATTCATAGTCACACTTTAATGTCAGCTCCACTCGTGGCAAGCGTTAATATTAATTTCTGATTCAATCAAGTAGGAGCCTAAAACAGAAATATGCAGACAAGCCATGTGAAACTATTTGTATCTCAACTGAAACCGTGTTAGGCGTACCCGTGACCTCTAACCAACTTGGACGCAACAAGTAAGAATTCTAAGCGAGTTGTCTCCGTTGCAGACAACAAAAAGCAGCAAGCGTCTTCGTTCACAAACAGCCATAATCATTGTTCCAAATCACCACTCCATGATCCACTCCAAAGCTCACGGTGTACATTTACTCAATGTGCTGTACGGGTTCCTCTGTGTGTATACAGCATTGGCAAGTGTGCTGTGAAAGGCTGAAATGTTTGTCAATGGTGTCAGCTGAGGTATGTAAAGTACACAGTTCACTGTTAAATGACTTCATGTCAAAATCGCCAGCATAACACTTACAATGCAAGTAGAGCAAGCACTAAGGAGACCGAGACATGTAGTCACTTGTATGATGGTGAATGCGTATTCAGAACTAGTGTTGGTTTAGGCATACTTGTGGCAAAAGTTGTATGTGTACTCGTGTATACGTAAATCCAGTTTTACACCCATTTCGTATTTACAGAGAACCCTTATGTATTAGGTCATTTAATTGATCAAAGTTTCGATTGTAGTTTGAAAATTTGGCTTTTGCTTTCATTATTCGAATGAGAAGAAAATTGGAAATTATTCAAACCAACCCAAGTGGTATTTATATATATTTAATCACGCCTAAACTGGTGGTCGATGTTATGAGCATGCCCATTCCGGTATAGTCTGTCTTACAGACCCTGATACAAATATATCAACTACAGCCCATGCAAGTCTATAATGTTTGGCAAGTCTAGATTACTGCAGTATCTGAAAATGAAGAGAATCACTGGGCTCCCTTTTTATTATATTTTTATTAAAATAACTGAGCAACTGTTTTTTCTGTACGATATGTTCATTTCAGAGACTATATGTTAGTCTAATTCCGGTAACACATCATGACCCCCCTCCAAAACACTCTTCACACCTATAGATGAGGGTTTTCCAACAATTATCATGTTTGTCAGGTGGTAAATAGATATCACAACACATATCTATAAGTACAGCTGAGTGTTGTGGTTTAATCAGATAAACAAATCACTACAATGGCAGCGCTGACACAGATGTCCCTAAAGGATCAGCATGCCTTACTGAACAGGCACCAGGTATGTAGATACAGGATAACATTAAATATCGACTGACTGTTATCTCCATATCAACGCTGTATGTACGTGTCATCTGTCATATGAAGCTGCAGAAGGATGGGAAATATATTACTCTGTGTAGTTTGTACAATTTTGGAAGGTTCTCTATGGATGATGGCATGGTCAATTGTTGATCACGTGGTATGAACGATGATACATAAAAGAAACAAATCTAGAACCCTTTTCATATTCATAAGAAATCACTGCTGATTAACACATCAGATAATCAAATCGGAGGTGATATACACATCAGGTGGTCGTTGTAACAGAATCCGGATTAACGAGGTTCAGCGATGGCGCCTTTGATCGTATGTCAAATATCTAATTTATTTCAAACTGTTTGGGCAATTGAACACATCACATGGTAGGGGTAACAGAATCCGGATTAACGAGGTCCAATGATGAAGGCCTTGACCGTATGTCAAATGTCTAATTTGTTTCAAACTATTTGGACAATTGAACACATCAGATGGTCAGAATCCGGATTAGCGAGGTTGAGTGATGACGTCATTGATTGTATATCAAATATTTAATTTATTTCAACTGTTTGGACAATTGAACGTATCAGATTACCGGAGTAACAGAATCCGGATTAACGAGGTTCAGTGATGATGCCATCATTCGTATTTGTCAAATATGTTTCAAACTGTTTGGACATTTGTACACATCAGATGTTCAGAATCCGGATTAGTGAGGTTCGGTGATTACGTCATTGACGGTGTATCAAATGTGTAATTTCTTATTTGTTATAATCAGATGGTCGGAGTAACAGAATCCCGATTAACGAGGTCAACTCTATATGTTGTCTATGTTAATGTTCAGTCAGAAGATTAAAACCATTTTCATACGTAATAGTGTGTCCATGGACATCCAAATATACGTGCATAAACTTCATGAGTTTACACTATGATGTAAATTTAGCAATATGAACAAGATCTGTGAAGAGCTTAAACTGCCTGTGGGACTTCAAGCGTAGAGCTACTTCAATTGTGCGCGCGGTGTGTAACAACTTGCGTCACTGGGATATGAAATGTTTACATCATGATGTAAAAATAGCGGATGACTACCCCAATGACGACAAGCTTTCATATCTGTAGTTTGGGAATAAATGTGTCAGGATCCCTAGGGTGCACTTGACTAGCCTCACTGATCTTATTCACTCTAACCTGCAATATACAACTCAGGTTGTCAATTACCGGTGACGTCAACAGTTGGAGTGGACCGCTTATTGAAATTAACAAGCGGTTGTCAATGTCTATTGCAGGATACGTCTACGGTAGCTATTTGATCTCCGGGACGGGATTTAAGCTGTAGGGCGATTCTACCCTTGATACGAAAGTTCCACGGGAGTGCAATGGTTTATTGTGTACACGGTTGTAGCCGCTCACCCGTGGATTGGATCCGGTTGTGTTTTATTACAATATGTCACGTGAATGTGACGTCAATGGTATAGAGATATGAGATCGCCTCAAGCTTCGTCGGCTCTATTCAACGGGCAACCTAGATAAGCGAACGTATTCAAGGACATATACAAACTCCGCTCGCTGGAAACTGAACGGGGAGTGTATACCTCTCGCGTAAAGATAATTCGATTGAGCGATATTTCGTGGAGAAGTGCGACAGTTTGCTTAAGAACTGACACACACTTAGGGTTAAGAGTTGAAAATACAATAAACTACGGTTATAACGAACTCAAAGGGACCACTAATTTAAGTTCGTTATAACCTTAGTTCGTTATAAGCATATATACAGCATATATACAACAAATGGCCGGGACTAAAAAATAAGTTCGTTGTATCGGTCAGTTCGTTATAAGCGTGTTCGTTATAACCGTAGTTTACTGTATATAATTCTTACAATGAAATATCCGCATCCCCGCCAAAATAGCGTGCTGGT